GCACTCACATCAGAATAACTTATAGATTTGTTGTTAGAATAATCGATTAATCGAAAAAATAATTGTTAGATTAATCGATTAGAAAATAATCGTTTGGTACAACACTACTGCTAAGACTATTTTTTTGTGACTTACCTGTAAATTTAGTGGCGGCATCAATGTGGTGTTTGACCTGAACAGCCAGCTCCCGGGTCGGGGTGAGAACCAGCCCAAGGAGAGGTTGACTCCCGCCATCAGAAAGCTTCTCTTGAAGGTCAAACTTGACATTTTCAGTTAGTTTAACACAACCAAGCTGCTCATCGTGATCTTCATCCTCGGTGTCATCTGGAGTCCGATCGACATCTTCTTGATCCTCCTCCTCTGAATCCTCCATATCCTGGTCCTCTGTTTCTGCGGGCCTGTCCACAGATGGTAAATACAAACTCTCCACCACGGCAGCCGGTTCGGCGTCATCGTCGGCAGTTTTCTCCGTGCTGTTCTTCCACTCCAGGATGCTGTGGATCATGGGAATCCCAAAAGCCAAAGTCTTACCACTTCCTGCAATTACACATCAGTAAATCRTCCTTAGTGAATGTTCTTGGTAAGTTAAATAAGAAAAAAGGTGTTGTATCTTACCAGTCTCTGCTGCTCCCAGAATATTCAATCCATCCCTGATAGCTGGAGGCAAAACCAGGGCTTGGATTGGTGTAGGTGAACTGAATCCAAGACTGCTGAGGGCCTTGAGCACAGGGGAGGGCACAAACAAGTCCTTCCATGTACTCACATCACAACTCGTGTCATGAGAAGCAGAAAGTGCTGCGTGTGTCCAGTTATTTATTCGCTGTTTTGAAGGTTTTGTCCGTTTCTCTTGACTGAGTTCTTTTGAAATGTTTAAGTCTGAGTGTTTCTCTGTGTCCGTCTGCTGCTTGGATTTGTTTTTATTCTTTTTGTCTTTTTTGGATGTTTTACTAGGTTGTGTGTCTTCAGGCACATCTGACGTTTCCTTTGACGCCTCAGTTTTCTCTTCCTCCTCACTGGCAGTTTTATCCTCATGTGTCACGTCTTTTTTATTATCTGAAACAGTCTTTTTATTCTTCCTCGATTTCTTAAYTTTTTTCTTGGCTGGTTCAGTTGTACCTTCAGCATCTTGATTCTCCCCAGCCTCTCCTGGCTCCTCGACTTTTCTCTTCTTCGCCTTTGACTTTTTCTGATCTTTCGCTGCAGCCTTCTCGCTGTCGACCAAACGGTAATCTGTCAGCTCTTCGAAACACACCAGGCCCTCAAGGCCTTCTTCTGAGAAAAGACATGGGTCGAGTTCAACAGCTTTCCACTTTCCTCTCATATCAATGCTCCGTTTGACTGGCCTCTTCTTCACCCCAGAGAAGCTACGCTTGTTTTTCGGCTTCATCTTCTTTGTCGACATTTCACTATAAACTGGCACACATACAAGTTTCTTCTACCGCTAAAGTAAAACGTGCAGCTACACGGTTTGATGTGAACTTCACAGCACGCGACACGCTAATACAAGTTGTTCTCAAATAATTCAAGATGATTTACTTTATATATTATTAAATAAAAAACAAAAAAAAATACCTGAACTCGATGCAGTTACGTGAACACTTATAGTAAAATTAGTTTTGACAAGAACCACGCACGACACGAGGACGCCGCCATGACAGTTATCTCACGTCACGTGGGTTTTGAAAAAACTTTAATGCTCAACTGGACCAACAACTACGGAGCCCTCGAAGGGACATGGGGCCCTGACACGGGCTGCCAGTTTATTTACAATTAAGTTATTTTAACTGTGTAAAAATGACTGTTTCTTTGTTAAGTAGAAGATATTAATATTTTTGTATTTTTCTATCCATGTTACTTTTCTTTAAAACATTTTAAAAAAATCTCAGTATATTTATCAGTATTTTATTGTCCCCCAAAATATCATGGCACGTAAAATCATTCTGTTGCACTAACTATACGCTACTACCTTTACATTGTTTTAGAATAGAATTACACAGTGGTGGGCAGCACTAGTCTAAAAATTAGTTCCACTAGCCCTAAAACACTAACTCAAATATTTAAGTCCCCTAATTCTAAAACACTAACTCAAATATTTAAGTCCCCTAATTCTAAAACATTAACTCAAATATTTTAGTCCCCTAATTCTAAAACACTAACTCAAATATTTAAGTCCCCTAATTCTAAAACACTAACTCAAATATTTAAGTCCCCTAATTCTAAAGCACTAACGCACTGAAATTTTTTTTTAGCAAAAGCTAACTCTAAAGCACTAAAATAACCCAGTCAACCCATGAACATTCTTCAACAGACAACATGAGTCACATGTTGCTCTCTCAAGACTTATCATTGACATTCCACAGCTGGATTTGAGTTCATTTATTGTCAATATATTGTCACCTGGTGGATAAGAGACACATATGAACAAAATGTGTGACAGCTTTCACCCTCAGCTGTTAACAATAATGTTGATCAACAACATTTATAGACCTCATAGTGCTTCTAAATTTAGCCTATAAATTTAGCAAGTGCTAATCCACTAATAAATTTTAAATTTAGCAAAAGCTCAAAAGCACTAATCAGGAAATTAGTTCTCCTATTAGTGCTTTAGTGCTTTAGGGAAACTGTGCCCACCACTGGAATTACACATCCAAACAAATAATACAGATTCATATTTAGGATTTTTTTTAATTATCGGTCATTTGTGAGCAGGTTTTACAAAACTGATTAAAACAAACAAAAATAATCTGAGAGTTAAAGAAAACAAATCTCACAATCTTGGATAAACAGTATACAGAGAGTGGAAGTGATTAGCTCTTGGTGGGGTCAATCACTCTGCCCATGAACAGCAGGGAGTTTGTGTCCTCGTGGTAAATGAAGAAGAAGAACGGTCTGTTGATGATGAACATCCTGGGCAGGGAATAAGGAATGATGCCGATTGTTGTWGCAGCTGCCGCAGTCGTTCCCGTCTCATCAACATCAATCACAGCTTTGTGCAGCACCTGGGAATACAGCAGAGGTAAAAGGCTTCAGTTATTATATGCATAAATGCAACAACATGGATGAAAGAGAAAACCCACCTCTGACACTGTCAGACCCCTGTCCTTACTCAGCCCTGTCAGGTTGGCTGAACTACTGAAGAGGCTGGTCATGCCCATATCTGGGAGAAGATTGTGCAGGGAGTAGCTTTGTTCCATCTTGAATTTTGGCATGTTGACTTCTAGATTTCTATAAACACAAAAGCAAACAATATGTCATACGGATCACCTGCCTTATGAGGATCAGTTGCACTTTTAAATATACTTAAAATCAGAGGTTGTAGTAACTAAGTACATTCACTTTGTTACAGTACTTGAGTAATTCTGTTGAAGATTTGTAATTTTACCAAGTACTTTTTATTTAATTGTAACTTTTTACTTTACTTTGATACAATGAAAACATAAAAATGATACATTTACTTATTTGACACCTGGTTACAAGTTCAAATATGACCAGAACTCATTACGAAATGAGTTGTTTATGCACTCTAAAAATGAGGTGTTGCTTTATTTACCAAATTATGTAAACTGGTTCCACTAAATTGCTTTAATTTAATCAATGTGTAAACTGAGAAATTTACTCCTATTCATATTTACTCAACTTGGTTTAGTGGAGCCAGTTTGGTTAAGTAAATTTCTTAGTTTGTGTGTAAAAGTACTTTTACTTTTCTGGTTATTGTGAGCAGTTACTTYTCTTATCAGTGAAATTATTTTTATGGAAGTGATTTTCTGTTAATGTATTTTTACTTTTACTTAGTAATTTATTTTAAGTACTTTATTTACCTCAACACGCTGTTGGCCTTTTCACTAGGGTTTAAAGCAGAGGTGACTAAAGTGGGGCCCGTGGGCCGAAATTGGCCCGCTGAACCATTTGATTTGGCCCACCAACATTTGTCCTGGTTACTAGATTGTAATTATGTTAAGATTAAATTTAAAATGCAAGTAATTACAAGAGACATTTAGATTAGATTTAAGCCCATATATAGATTTGCACACCTTATTAGACCACATACTGTATACTCAAACTTTAAATTATGAAAAGTCCCATGAGCCTTTGCTGCCTGAGCATACATTGAATTTTCTCCATGTCCATAGGCTGAAAACAACAACAACAACAACAACAACAACAACAACAACAAC